AGAAAGGAGCAACAAAGGAAAAATCGACTGGGATTTGGTGCTACTGCTTCTCTCTGCGGCAGTTGCATGACACCCCCAAAAGTCACGCAGTCAGGCTGCCGGCTATACATGGCAGCTTCGTGTGCGCAGCTCCGCTTGGCCAACGTCTGGGCTCCGCTTGGCATCGTCAAACCGTCGAAATCGGGATGAACACGAAATCAGCCGGAATCGCTCCACATCTTCTCGGGGAGCGTTCTGCAACGAGGAAAGAAGCCGAAGTTGACGTCGACCAGGTCGCAAGACTTCCAACGGACACATCCAAATGACTGGGTGCGTTCTTCCGGGTCGTTGCCCTACATCCACATGGATGGAGATGAAGACGTGCCTGAAAGGAGGGCAGTTGTAGAACTTCCCTTACAAGGCAAAACCAAGGACTTTGAGGGACTTCTTGGGTTCATCAGACTTCTACAGGCTCTGTCCGAATTGGTGGCGAATTCTTGGACGGAGCAATTCTTTGAAGGACTTTGATTGGAAACGGAAAGGGGGCATGCCAGCATGGACCTGTCTTTCAACATTCTCAGGATTCTAAGGGGATTGGGTGCAAAACTGCATGTGTTCTTTCAAGAAGCATAGCGCATGACAATTGCGCCATGACAAAGTTCCGATACCTTTGATGCATCTTCCGCAAAATCTTCAGCACCCTCGATAACCTCAAAAACGCAAGATAGCCTTGTGCCGAGCAAAACCGGCAGAAGCACGTTGCAAATCATCAAAACGTACCCACCAGCATTCACCATGGCCGTGAGCAAGACAGTTTCGTCTTACTATCAATGAAGCAGTGTCATTGCCGCAATACAATGTCCAGTGTACGTCTTTGGTTGTTACCCCTCGTAACCTCCAAGACTCAAAGGAAGGTGTGGTCTTTCCAAGTCCGAAGGGAAAACAAAAGTGGACATTGGTGATGAACGTTGCAGAATGTGCAAACTTGCAAAATGAGTGCACGATGAACAAAAGATGCAACGAAAAATGCACGTGATGTTCCTTTTGAGCGATCATTCTGCAATCGATTCCCAACTTCAGTATTCTTCAACAGGGCCTTGTTAAATAGCGGCTACCTCAACCTAAACGGCATCCGTTACCTTGAAAAGAACAGCTGCTGATTAGAGATCATGCCGAAACACATGTTAGCTAGCTACCGGTTGCCCATGTCTTGCTACCTCTGAGAACTGCTAATTGATAAGAAAAAGATGATGCAACACATATACAAATGACTCAATGACCATCAAAACATGCCGATTCCGTGAGGCAAAACCGACGGATGCTTCCTCCAACGCCGACGTCGAGGAGTCGGAGCGGCCGAGTCCGCGGAACGGACGAGGCACGGTCTCGGGATCTGCGTAGGTGACCTGCAGCGCAAGGGGGACGCGGTGGGGCCGGTGACCGGCTCGCCACGGTGACGGGTGGAAGGAGAGTGATGGGGAAGGAAGAGGAGAGGAAGAGGAGAGATGAGACGGACTGCACATAAGAGAGATGAGATGAGATGGACTGTTGTTTTTGCGTTGGGTTCTTGTAAGTGTACGATGGTTCTTGAACTGGAACAGGGCTCACTTGTAAAGTGTCTAGACTCCAAGGGTGCAAGATCAACGTACGTTCACACCCGAGACATTCCTTGAGAGAGAGGAGGCTGAGATAACACACATCGGTCTGGACCTCCCCGGTCACCGGGTGAAGACACAAGAAACCGTATCTGTGACTTCTTTGGAGACCAGGAAACTCAGTCATCCAATGGAGTCGCTCTGGTATGACTGGAGCCATCAAACAAGTTGAGTGCGGGGGTATGAGGTTTTTGGAAGCTGCGAAGAAGAATACCACCCTCATGAAGTCATACCCATGGCTCCCGATGAGCGGGCCGACGAAGGCTTCAGGGCGGCCCGACGAAGGCTCAGCTTCAGAACTCGATCCCTGAACAGTCCCAGCTCGCAACATCGCTCCAAATCATCCAAAGCACCAATATACGTCTATAGACTATAGTGCCTCTGCATGTCATCTCTTGTCCGCCTCCACCCTCGCGACCCTCGCGTCCGCCTTCGCCTCGACCCTTCGCTTACTCCGCTGGTCTCCTCTCCGCCCGTCCTACCGGGCGCCCCGCGCTGGCCAGGTCTCGGTGAGGGATGGGTCGGACTCCCAAGACGCCCAGCCGCCAGTGCCGAGCTCCTCCTGGAGCGGAGCTGCGGTCCGCGAGGTGTGCGGCGGGCGAGGTGCGCGAGGGAGGTGAGTGCGGTGGGTGCGGTGTTTTGTGGGTTCGGAACGGCAGTTGCTTTGGGTGGCAAGAGCAAAAGGCTGAAGAAGTGCAAACAAAACGTGCTGAACCGCCGTGAGGGAGCGACTTGAAAAGATAAACGTGTCTTGTTTGGGCCCCTGTTTCGGAGAAGGGACCCGCAAAACAAGACCCTTTTCTCCGAATTCTCGGCTGGTGGAAGGAGGACCTCTTCAGTCCAGCTGGCATCGGATGGGTCCAACTCTTGAACAGGAAGTTCTGTGGACAAAGAACAAGTCGTGGCCATTCTTCCAGGATAGAAAAACACGTGGTATTTTGCGGGGGTGCCAAGGAGAATGGCTTGAATAGGCTTGAATTTTCCCTTTCAGAAAGGGAGGAAACCAACCAAGCCGTGGTGCTAACGCGGCTTGACCGCGTCCAGGACGAGGACGAGGACGACTTCCCGGCGCTCCTGTCGAGCCTGGGAGATCTGCCTTTCAATACTGATTGGACCTGCAAGCCCAGCGGACTGATCTGAGACTTTGGGCCGATCAGTCCACCCCTGAGCAGTTCTTTTTGTGTCCCCAAAACGGTGGTACAAAAAAGGCGGAAAAACCGCGGAGTGCTGTTCTTGGATCTGTGTTTCTTGCTTCCTGTAGTTTGTTTGTTTTGGTTTTTCACGATCACGATCGCCTCGTGAATAGCCTCACAGCTCGGCAGTTTGGACATCGGAAACTGGCCGTTTCTTCGAAGTCCACATGATTCCACATGTTTCTTTGCAGCACCAACAGCTGCAGCTCGGCCAACGACATGCTCTTTTCCATGGTTGATTCAAGTGATTCAAAAAGCGACTGCGAGGGATCCATGGCAGATCAGCCGATCGTGGCTTTTGTTTGTGGCGAAGCTTGCCATACGTTGCCTTTTGTGATCACTGAGGACTTAATCTTATCCCATGGATCCATTGCATGCTCCGTCATGCACTGCATGCACATCACAAAGCCTACGATCAAAGAAACAACTTGACACCAACATCTTCTTTGAGAAGAACTATTGTATATAATCTCATGTAAACCTCAGCCACTCAGAGTGCTGATTGGCGCTGTGCCACTTCGACACCCAACCTGCGTGCCACCTGCCCAAAAAGCCTGTCGCGCCTACATCTTCCACAGTCGCGCTTCGTGCCGTGGAAAACGTCTGCCTCAAGACATGCAGCAGCATTCATGGATCCTGGTGTTTGACGGCTCACAAACCGTGTCAAATGTGTTGGACCTTCAGTTGACCGCTGGATCGACCAGGCGACAGCTACGTTCCGGTTGCCGTCGATCCAGCGGTCCTGATGAACGAGGCCGTCGTCACTCCGGTGTGATGGTTCTTTCGTCGCTCCTTGGTCGATGCTGGTGGTTTCGGAAACAGCCTGAAATCCTCCGGGAGTTTGAACATTTCGGATTGGAGAACCTCAGATCTCCAGTGCGATGTCAAATGAGGAGACGCGTTCTTTTTCCTTTCCTGGTGAATCGGGGATCTTCAAGGGAAGCGTCGTGCGAACACGAAGAACCAATTCCACAGAAAACAACAAACCATGGGATTGGAAAATTGACCTTTTTCATGATTATGGGATGAGTCATTTTGAGATTTGGAGGGTCAATTCAGTGGCTAGTTGGATTGCTATAGATTGTTAATAAGTACAGTGATTGTCAGCAGGCTTCTCACAACTCTCCATCCCCTTGCAACTCTCCAGCTGCCTAGAAGTGGCCAAGCGAGGCTGCAGAAAGCTTTGGGAAGTCTCCTTCCCAGCCCAAAGAAAGGCCAACAGCAAGGCAGCCCGTACACCTGGCAGATTTCTAGATGCATCTGTTGCTGGGTGCATCGTGATACATCGGGTTCAAAGTGGCTTTCTTGACTTTGGCTGGCACACAATGATATAGACAGAACAAATGGTTCTGCACAGTCTGCTCAAATGGGCATCAGCGGCACCAGGGTTGGAATACCTCCATTCTCCCTAAGTTGGACCTCCAAATCGAGTCCTTGGTGAGATGGCAACCTCAGCACTTCGTTTGACAGAGTCTATACATTGTTATCAACACATAGCCCCCGAAAACACCGGGGACGACGATGCGGAAGATGCGAAAAGAGAAAGCAGCCGAAATCGGAGCCAGCGGCCTCCATCAAGCAATCCAAACTGCCCTTTCAAGGCGCCGGTCTTTGCAGGGGATCTTTGGTTTCAGCAATACACTGCTCGAACCCCCAGGGAAACCCAGCCGCCCACTGCCTTACTCAGACTTCCTGAGTGAATGAGCACAACTCTCTATTCACATCAAGGTCTATAGTAGTGAAACAATTCGTTTTGAGGTCGCTGCTGATAATCCAAGGAGAGGCAAGACAACCGTGGTTTTCTCTGTTGTATTTCTCTGTGCTACTGAAAGTTCCTTTCGGTATGCTGGTGCTCCTACTTGCAGCCGCTTGTGGTTGAGCCACTTATTCATGCACAGAAACTGTGGGCAACAACCCCACATCATATCCCAAACAGAATGGTCATCTGTTACTAGTAGAGTCCTTGTTACTGCTAGTAAGGCACTTGTTACTACTAGTAAGGCACCTGTTACTACCAGCTACTTGTTACTACTGGTAATCTTTGGGTAGGTCCGCTCCCGAACGATTTTCACCTGTTTCTACTCACATCATCACCAAGCACTGCTAGGCATCCATTCCTTCGGTTTTTCACCTCGCAGATCAGGGGCTTTTGATGAAAAACCCGTCTGTTGCGGGGCCCTGGCAGTCCTCGAGTCATTCATCCTTCAAGGCTGTGAGGAACCCTTCAAGACTGCCAGTGGCCTGACCACGACCTTGCATCCAGCCACTGGCAGTGTGTCTTTTCTTCGGCAGTGGTGGTGTTTCCTTTTCGTGAAAGAAACAACACGGAACGTGCTCGGCAGTGGCTTCCTGTCTCAACCCAAGCTCCCAACAGAACCTCGCAAAAATCCCAATTCTATCAGGTCCCGACCCAAAACAGGTGGAACTACTGGAACTCTGACGGACCACGTCCGCGCCATCCATGCCGCCCCCCCCCCCCCCGCTCCACCTCGCAAGGTCCACCGCGCCATGCAGGAAGCGAGCTCGGTCGCCGCGAAGGCGCTCGGTGCGGAACGTACGGTGATACGGTTGAGACAATGCCCATGCTGCGTCGGGTGTTCACCGTGTGATGAGACGTGTGTTTGATCGTGTGTGTTTTGATGTCTTTTTTGATCTATGCCGACATGATGATGAAACACTTCAAGGCACCTATGATGGCATCAAATGCCATCTATGTGAGTCTATGTTTGCACCGACCAATTCAGAACTGCCTCATGGTGACTTTGTTCTCTAGCCTGTCTGCATGCTCAAGCAACCAACAGCTACGGAGTGAGGATGTCATCGCACACTTGATGGAAGCACTCCTGAACCACCTCAATCAAAGGACAAAACATCCAGCATCGAGTCGTTCTGTATGTTTTCACACCCAACAACTTCTCGTAAAATTCCTTGGCCGATTTGGGAGGTGGATGCGCTCACATGGAGCGAGAACTGCCGGACAGTTTGATGGGCTCTCTTGTTCGTCCCCAAATAGAAGAATGGTTGAGCCCTTGAAGATTTTCAAGGAAACCTCTGCTGAGATGGTGACGGCGGAGTTGCTTTCAAGATCTTCCAAGATGGCTATATCTCGATTCTTTTGTCTATCTGATCCAGTAGTTGACCCAGTGCTGCTGTGACAATGGTGATTTTCCGTTTGACCACCTGAAACCACATCTGACTCGGGATCTCTCCACGTCACCTCTTTCTCCTCCCATTTGGTCCAACTGGCCCCCCCTTTCAGCATGACCATTCCACAAAAAGTGCGTCATGGTCCGTCATGACCAGCCAGCCTCCCAAATCCGCTCCGTTCACAACCCGGTCCCTAACCTTGGGTCATGAGAAAGGACAACAAGAAGGGCCCCAGACTCCTCTCAATAAGGCCTCCCCATGGAACGAGTCCTTAATATCCTTAATTGCCTTCATTCTTTCCATTAGCTCAATGTTCTTGCGGCTGCTTCTTCGTCCCGAATTTCACCTCCGTTCCCAGTTGCGCATCGACCAGCGGCCGGTTCCCCAGCGCGGCCGGTTCCCCCGCCTCTTGTGGGGAGCCCACGTCGTTCAAGCTATTCCGCTCAGTCTTGGTGATCTGCAGATTCGTCGGAGGGTCGGCAGTGCCAGATCGGAACTCGTGACCAGGCAGTACCAGCAAAATGGGTAAGAGTTGGGTGAAATAGTTATATATACAGTAAATTCAGTACAGGAATAAGTTCTAGCCACAGATACGTCGCAATATACTCATGGCCAGCGAGCTCCCCAAACTCATGGACCTAACCACGCTAGGGTTTTGACCATAATCTTATAACCTTGGTGTGGTGAAAAGCTCTGGAGGATTCTCTAGTCTACTTGATTTCATGACGTCCCAAAAAAACATCAAAGAAAACCACATTCCAAGATGCACCGAGTCTCGCTGCCTTGCAGTCTTGCTGGTCTCGGGGTTTGCTGGGGTCTTGTTTTGGGAGCGTGGCAACATAACCATGCCTTTGATCCGCATCGCACTCCAAACTCGCCGGATTTGGGGCCATCAGGTGTGTCAGAATGGCGGACATGACTGTGGTTTGTTCTTAGAGGCGAGCCTGGACGGACCTCTCCAAGCCGTATAGTTAATCATGGTGAACATGAGGGGGCATTGCTTTCTCAAAGCTTACCGTTTCGGGACCTGGTCCCGACCCAACTCACCGACCGATCGCTGGCCCCAGTTCGACCGCAACGACGCTTCTTGTCGCGTCGCGACCGGGTCCTTAAGGCCAATGTATTCCAATGGCTCGATAATATCCCGCAGGAAGACATCGTAGCCTTTGTTGGTGGACCTGAAACCAACAAGTCGACACACCGCTTTTCGCCACCGCGTTTCGCTGGTTCTGGACGGGCGTTCGCAGCGGCGTTCGCATCCAAAACGGGCTAAGAGTTGATGTGTCACATCAAAAAACGTGCTGGCAAGTTGACATCTTAAGACGGGCGATGTAGCAGTTACAGTTGATGTTCCTTTCAAGCGATCTTCCGCGACCTTTTGACGCTGGAGGCGTTTCACACCAATGGATCGGTCGAGTCCGTCGTTTCGGTGAGTCCCCTGTTTCGGGATAGACGACACGGTGCACGGTGTTGGCCGAAACAGGTCGCTTTCCAAGGAGAACTTGGCTTCGATCCTTTAGGAAGCCTTCCAGATCTTCCAGGGATTCTGTATTATAGGAAGACACATGCCGGGCACTGTTTTGAAGTCATTTCTTTGGGGAGCCATCAAGTACCAGGAGTCGCAAAGGGGTGCCCATTGGAGGATAAGGGGTGCACATGGGTGCCCAGTGTCCACTCACTTAGGAACTATAAACACAACCCCTTTGTGACTGGCAGGACGCAGCTGGTTCTTGCAGGATGAGTCCGATGAGCCTCCCAAAAAACACATATAAATCCCAGAACCACCGGCTTCATCACCACGCAAACCCCGCTCGTTCCTCTCACTCGCTCCATCTCCAACTCGCGTTCCACGTTCCCCATCGGATTTGAAGAAAAGCCCCAGGCGCTTTTGAGGGCCGGTGGGAAACTTGAACTCGTATCCCACGTTGGGGTCGGAGTACCTCAGGACCCGTGGTCGGACTGGTCGGACTGTTGGGGCGGGGACGAGGAGGTCGTGAAGAAGCCGGTCAGTCGGGATTCTGCGTCGGCCAGGAAAATCGGACAGAAGGTAGAGAGAAAGGAAGGGGAGGGCTCGAGATGAGATGGATGTTAGGATCTTATATCAGTTTGAAAGGGGTGGAGATGGGTGGAGGGTAGTGTCCAATATGATCATCCTGTATCCACTCACTCAGGGACTGAAATTCCACTCCGTTTGGAACTGCTATAGGGATTCATACTGGGATTCCATGATTCATCATCTATTGTGGGCAGCTTGTGTATGGGCCATGCCTGCTGTTAGTACACCATGTAATGCAAACATGCAGGGTGTTTAAATAGCTTCTTGCTGAGTGGGATGAATCACTTGTTTGTCCATATTCAGAGAGATTCTACTGTTGATTGTTATGAATCATTCTCCTGGATCACCCAACCTCGAAACTTTGGGATGACTTCCACTGCCCAATGGATGAAGTTTGTGGAATCTGCATCTGCTCAAGGGTGGCACCACGTTCCACGGAGAATCGTCTTCCACGTCGTCCACCGAGCACTCAACGCCATATCGCGTTTTGGGCGCCCGAACGTCTCGTAAGCCAAGGCTGGTGCTGGCAACATGGACAAGAGCCCCACACCTCAAGGAATGGGAACTCAAAGAGATTTCGAAGTGCTGATGACCATCAATTCCTCGACCCCGAAGATGATTGAATAGGACACCTATGCACATTGACCAATGGGACATAGTAGACTCCATGAGATAGATGGGAATCATAGTGGTCCAGGGCGTATCCCTTTACCATCAACCAACCATATACCCTAGCCTTCCAAGACCATTCAAAGAAAGGTTGACCTGGCTTTGTAGTGGGAAGAGGCTAAATCGGATGCATTGGATTCGTTTTCTCCTTGCTTTGAGCAAACTGGAACAGGAATCCGGCTCTCAGTTCTAGAGTCTCTACACTTCTCTCTAAATTCTAGATTCTAGAATTTAATTGAATCCTACTAGCAATGGTCTCCAATCTAGAAGCGATGGCCTCCAACCTAATAGCGATTCTCTCTATCTCTTTGATTCCTATCTAAACACTCTGCTGGCAGTGCCGGTCCCAACCTGAGCCTGCTAGCACTTGCCGTCGTGGCAGGTTTTCGTTCGGCTGCCTGTGCTGCAGAAACTGAAGGGGCAAATCGTACGCCTGGCCATCATGATGCATACTATATCATCCCTGGGAGTCCAAGACTATTTTAAACATGGTCTTTAGATGACCAAAGTCCAGGAATTTCCTTTTACTTTCGGTGGTCCCCCAAATAGTCTTGGGCTCCTTAGGGTAGTACAATTTCATGATCCATAACCAACTACCTCTAGCAGGTGTCATGTTCTATCAGACCACTCTTCGTGTTTCAGTCTTCATCTGAAAACTCTTCGCGTCCTTGTTACGTTCCTAGCGATGCTCCCTTTGCTCCGCTCCACCCAGCAGGTTTGACATTCCAAAGACCCCATCTGCCGCCTCACCTCACCGACTGTCCAAAAGTGCGCTGGGTACACCCCTTCTGAAAAAAAAAAAAACGGTCACAGCGTCTCCCAACCCAAAGCCTCTCCCTTCTCCTCCTATTCACGACCCCGGACCGCCTTGGAGACAAGAAAAGCAAGGCCTCATGCAGGCCCGCGAGACAAAGTCCTGAGCGACGTGGCCGTTCCGCGCAAACTCAACTCCATAGCAACCCTCCACCATCCTACCATCTAGGTCTTCCTGCCATTTCCTCCTAGGAAACTCAACTCCATCCGACAACATTCCAGTCTAGGCAGGAAATATCAGGAAATGGCAGGGTCTTCCTTTGGACGCTCCTGTGGACTCTAAGCCTCCCTGCCCAGGGCAACGCATCTCGCCGCTGTGGCCGCGGGACGCCTGATCGACTCCACGGAGTCGTCTCGTAGGTAGGATGCAGCACACGACAACAAGGCCTGCAGTTGTTCTTATAACTCTGAGCCACAGACTTCTTTCCCCTTGCAAATCAAACCATTGAGAACCATCCATCGTTCAACTAACATGGTCACTTCTGATTCTGTTCACCTTTCACGACACAAGTCTTCTGACGCATGCGTCTTCCACCAGGAAAATGGCCCATCCGGTGTCAAAGGGATGATGCAAGCCTGCCTCAATGTTCAACAAACCCTAGGGTTCCAACCACCTCCTGAGAAGGTGGTTGGGGTGGGTTTGGGGGGTCTAACCACCTTCTGAGGATATGATAAACCACATCAGCCAAGACCAAGAGACCTTCCGAACCCAAACGCTGCGACTCTGCCGCACTGCCGGCCCCCACGGTCGGGGAAAACCGTGCGGTGGGGTCGAGAGCGTCAGGTGCTCTTTTTCAAAGCGATCCACGGCTTTTTCGTGGCGCAGGTTTCACTGCGGGGAGTCAGGAATTTCCACGTCGACATGGTCTGACTATGTCTGACTCACTCAGTTTGCTTCTACTTTGTCCAACCTGTCGGCAACAATAACTTCCAACCTCGAACAGCGACTTCGAACGGTCGCAATCAATAAGTCCCCGATGATTTTCGTCGGATGACATGTCGGTGTCGCTGTTCCCGGAGATGTCTGCCCAGCCAAAAGAGACGCCAGAACTTCCGTGACTCATCTACCCCACCTAGAAGTCAGAATCCAGCACTGCTATATATAATAGTAAATGAACCATGACTCTCAGGGAAAGCCTCGCGCAATCGGAGCGGTCGCCCGAAAAACGCACACCTCTCGCCGTTCGCCATGGCCCTCACACGAAGCGGTCGAGCGGAGCATAGCAAAGCAAGGGTTTGGGGGTGTTTCATGGGATGATTCCGGAAGAAGGAACACCATGGAACACCAATACAAATCCCAAATAATCCATGAAACTGGGGATATTTGCCTAATGGAAAGGTGGTCTTTAGATGCTTTGAAACTGATGTACGTACGGGTTTACATGCTTAAGTAGGGCATGGTATAGCAGTCGATGTCCCAAAAAAGGCACTCTTTTGAAATTTGACTCATATCTATATATATATACCTATGACAAGCAGGTAGATGTCTAGCCCGGACACCCAAGAGTAGAATTACATCACGCATGCCTGCTTTTGTTGTAGTGGTTGTGGTTGTGGTTGGTTGGTTGGTTGTCCATACCAAGCTGCAAAACTATTGCGAGTCAGTTTAAGGATTGCATGTCGTTTCTGCAGGTCGGGCATGGTTTGAGAAACAGTATATTCATGGGCATCCTTTTGAGCTAAGTTAAGTATAGCAATACATAATTATGTATACTATCATCATAGTAACAAGAAGCTACTAGGAACAAGTGCATCGCTTCTAGTAACAAGTGCCTTACTAGTAGTAACAAGAAGCTAGTAGAAACACGAATTAGTAATTAGAATAAGATGACCATACATACTATATACATTCCCCTTCCAATTCGCACTCACGCCCGGACTGTCAATTCTTTGGGAACCCCCCGGTTCCAGTTGTAGACTGGCACTGTATATATCTGGGTTTTTATGACAACCCGGGTTGTCTGATTCCCAAAAGCATTGCGAAGGGTTCTTCCGGAAAATCTCTTGAACACTTACACTTCTACACTTACACTTGAACAATTATACACTTACACTTGAACACTCACACTTCTATACTTACAATGGCAGAGAAGTATCCAAGTGAAAGCTTGTAAGTGAAAGTATGCCAGTGTAAGAGTGAAAGCGTCCAAGTGCAAGTGTGCAAGTGTAAGCATCCCAGTGCAAGTGTGCAGGTGTAAGTAAGTATCCCAGTGCAAGTATGCAAGTGTGAGTATGAAAACTTTCACGGGAGATATCCTAATGAAAAAACTTTCCCCACTTTATAAGTTAATAAATTCTCTTTAAAGGCGGAGGGCGGGACGAACAGCGTCAACCGAAAATGCAACCCTCTGCGGAGATCGTGGGTGTCGAGCGCGCGAAATGCAAGAAAGAGTGCGATTTGTCAGTGGCGCGCGCAACCCTCTGCAGAGATCGTGCGTGTCGAGTGCGCGAAATGCAGGCAAGAGCGCGATTTGTCCTGCCCGCGGGCAACCCTCTGCGGACATCGTGCGTGTCGCGTGCGCGAAATGCAGGCGAGAGTGCGATTTGTCCCACGCGCGCGCAACCCTCTGCGGAGATCGCGCGCGTCGAGTGCGCGAAATGCAGGCGAGAGTTCCGGCGCAACCCTCTGCGGAGATCGTGCGTGTCGAGTGCAACTTTAGTACGCGGAGCAATCTGTGGAGCTGGAAGATGAGAACTGGCGACTTGCTAGCAACTTTAGTACGCGGAGCAATCTGTGGAGCTGGAAGCTGAGAACTGGCGACTTTGTAGTACAACTTTAGTACGCCGAGTAGCTGGGGAGCTGGAAGATGAGAACTGGTGACTTGGTAGTACAACTTTAGTACGTGGAGTATCTGGGGAGCTGGAAGATGAGAACTGGCGAATTTGTAGTACAACTGTAGTACCCGGAGTATCTGGGGAGCTGGAAGATGAGAACTGGCGACTTGGTAGTACAACTTTAGTGCGCGGAGTATCTGGGGAGCTGGAAGATGAGAACTGGCGACTTTGTAGTACACCTTTAGTAGGCGGAGTATCTGGGGAGCTGGAAGATGAGAACTGGCGACTTGGTAGGACAACTTTAGTACGCGGAGTATCTGGGGAGCTGGAAGATGAGAACTGGCGACTTGGTAGTACAACTGGAGTACGCGGAGTATCTGGGGAGCTGGAAGATGAGAACTGGCTATTTGGTAGTATCACTCTAGTACGCGGAGTATCTGGGGAGCTGGAAGATGAGAACTGGCGACTTGGTAGTGCAACTCCAATACGCGGAATTGCTGGCGAGCTGGGGGATGCGAACTGGCGACTTTGTAGTACAACTTAAGTACGCGGAGTAGCTGGGGATGGCCCACAAGAGTGTCCCACAAGAGTGTCCGTCAAGACGGCGTGTTGCTTCAGAGAGGGATGATTGGTGGTATTATGTGATATGTTTTGTGGCGGACCTATTCAGCGTTGCGCTGACACAGCGAGAAAGACACCAAGAGGTTGGCGCTCCTGAGCCACACTGTTGTGCTGCCGTATCATCTGCGCATCCGTCTACACCCCCTCACCTGTGCAGAGACACAGACACAGATACACACACATAGACACACACACACACAGAGACCCACACACGGACTCGACAGACTAGACTGAACACTTCACACTTAACACTTAACACAAAACTCACATTAGACTTCACATGTGGTGAAAAATGCCTTTTGGTGTGAGCATGTTTTTGCTTACACCGAAGCAGTGAATACATTGTTCAGTTTGTTCGTTTCGTGCTTTCGCAGAAACAATGTACTAGCTTCAGAACTGAGTGCCTAACCTGGGGTTATACCCTAGTGGCTCAAGCTGGACGTCGTTCTGCGGAAGGACGACAAGGACGTTACTAGACATAATGTCGGGGAATCTTTTCCGTATACAAAGGCTAGTCGCGAGCCGAGCAGAGAGTGCACGCAAAAACATATGCAATGGCTGCTGCGTGTCACCTCAAGCTACTTGGGCACGTTTTTGTTTGGCACAGTCGATTAGAAAATGACCAGCATAGTGGTTGGTTAACAACATCTCAAGTGAAGAAAACGTTACCTTTAGAGCCCTGTGGCTGCCATGCATCTGTGCATTTTGCATAGCTTACCTTTTGGTGCTCAAAGTGAGATTGCAGAAATCTCCATAGAACTTGGGCCAGCTACCACCAGATGCAATGAAGAATGTACTTGCAAGAAGTTTCAACACACCCCACAAGCTTCTCGTAAATAGGCACACTGACCATGGCTGCTCTGGAGGACGGGTTTGTGTCCTTCGGGCCGACGCACTCTCACTCTCAGATGACACTGGCTCAACACTGGCTCAGGTTACGTCAGGCCTGGAGCTTTCCCTCCTGGACGTGCTCCCTGACCTCAAGCTGTGCCATGTTTGGGAGGCCTGCGCGCTACTTACGCTACTAGGGGCTCCTGGGCTTACTACTAGGAGCAAGGACGCTACTAGGGGCTCCTGGCATCGCTACTACGAGGGGAAGGACGCTACTAGGGGCTACTTGGTTCGTGGCATCGCACAAACTGCGAAAGTTATTTGAGGCGTGGACGAAGCGCAACCCAGATGTCGCTGACTTGCGAGAGGTCAAGAACTTGCAGAAAAAAGGTGTTCCTGCGCGTCAGAAAGACATACAGAGAGAGACACATATACACACAGACATAGATACACACACACAGAGACCCACACACTGCCTCAACACACTCGACTTAACACTTCACACTGAACACTTAACACATAACTCACACTCTAACTTCACCCGCGATGAAAAATGCTTTCGGGCCACTCGTCGTCTAGTTTTTAGAGGAAATTCGCACAGGGATCTATATACTATCATCAGAACCACTTGCCAGTTTCTTGGCCACACCATTGGATTGGGCCATTGGGACTTATATACCACAGCTTCAGTTCCACCACAAGTTCATGATAGAAACCGATCTGTTAAACAAAGAAACAACAATAACACATACTAGGCCAGGTCCTGATGTTTTCACCTGCAAACCAATCCCACTTCTATCCTCTTCAAAGAAAACCGGTGTTCAAGATGATGCCTACTCCTTCTTTGCCTCTTCAGTGGCTTTGGGATGGAAACAGAAACACCAAACTCCACCGCCCCAAACCGTGTCTCCACGCGCGGAACACGCCATCGCCTGGGGGTTCCAACCCACTCTCGCTCGCCACGTCTACTTGAGCGGTAATTACTTGAGCCAGCGAGCAATGCAAGAAGTACTGTTCCCAGGTGCACCCAGGTCATGAAAAGACATGGGACTCAAAAGTCGGGAACGCTCGACCTCCATGTACTTACTTGGTTCTCTCTGAGTGAGTGCTCAACGCCGGGTCCCCCTGGAATTGACCCACAGCCACAGAGCGGCCAAAGGAGAGGAGATGCAAAAACAAAAAAAACAGGGAGGTATTCCATTTTCAGAACAGAAGTACATGGGCGTATGTTTTGACTCGTTACTTCACACTCTTTAAGGGTTCGACCACGAGCTGACTTCGGGTTGTATGAAAACGTGTCCAGAGATTCCGAAGATGCACGGCGCGGGGTTCCGGAGCGCAATTCGGTGCCCCCGTGGACGACGGAAAGCACTTCTCCTCCCGTGGACGACGGCGGAGGGATTTTCGAGCTCGAAAAGATGTGGAAGAAAAGAAAGCTACTAGAAACAGGTGCCACGCTAGTAGTAACAAGTGCCTTACTTGTTGTACCAATTCTAATAGCTTTTTAATTCTAATAGCTTCTTGTTACTACTAGTAAGGCACTTGTTACTACTAGCGTGGCACTTGTTACTAGTAGTAACAAGAAACTTGATCAACCGCATCACTGTTCCAGACCGAATCTCTTCAGTTCTACCATGATTGGACACATCTGGAAACCGTCAGATAAACTTGGGGTTCCTTCAAGTACTGTAGACTTAGCTTTACAATCCATGTATTTATGTTATAATTCATCAAGGGTCATCAGCCAATTAAATACCTCTTCAATTTGGGAGGCGCTTGGCGCCTTGTTGAAAAGCCACTGCATGACGCTTGGCGCTCTATCGTTGTTGTGTCCGATGCGAAGCCGAACTCTGCGTTCACGTCAGCCACAAACAGCACTTTGGCAGCCGCCGTGAGTTGAAGCCATGCGACCCGCGAGAGTGATTCCTCGCAAAGCCGGGGAACTAAGAGCGGAGATCAAGAACCAGCTTGTGAAACACGACACCATGTCTCTTTTGGGGAAAGAGAACACAGCAAACATCTTTGAACAAACAATCTAGAACAACATGCTCAATGCCACAGGTTCATCTCCGTCCGAACCCGAGTGATTTGAATGCATCCGTATGTTGATGAGTTTTCATTTTTCTATGGTATATGCCGTGTGTTCCAAGATGTTAGAGGTTTGCTCAACGTCCCAGATCAGACATGTGGGTTCACGATCACAATGAAAAACTCTCAGACCCTCCTGAGTCTCAGAGTTAAGAATTTCTGAGTCTCAGAGTTTGCCGAATTTCATGTCGCAAACTGAGCGAATTGGAACTCGTTGGCCGCTCAGTTCTCTCTCACAAGGCTCGCCGTGTGCTCGAGACCGACTGGAGGGCGTGTGCTCGAGTGAACGGTGAGAACGATCGATTCATGAAAAAACCTTCTGCCTGGATGGTGCAACATCTCCCAACCAATTATATTTACCAGGAGCATCCTGTGTGGGTGTCCTGGCTGGAGATAGTAGTTCAGTAGTGGAGGGTAGTTCAGCCAGGACACCCATTGGAAGCGGCTTGTTTCATTTTTGTATGTGTCTGTGAATCAACAGTCAACCTTAAGGCAAGGGCGTTTTAGGGTCTTTGGACACACTGGCGTGTTCAACATCATAGTCGTCATCAGCCATTGCAAAAGACATCAGAATATCTGAGAATATCTGAGAATCCTTTTCTGAAGGTCTTACCTGAGTGCGATAATTACGTGCGAAAGCCAGACATTCCAAAAACGAAGTTCATACAGTGATAGACCGGGTCCATTCTTTAGGCTTTACAGGGGGCATGCATTTTGAGTTTGATTACACACTCGCCAAGACAGTTGGCACTTGAAGGTCAGCGGATCCAAAATCCTCACACTGCGTGTCTCTTCGACGGATTTCGGGCGAAACGAAAACAACCAAACGCCCTCGATGTCGAAGCCGTCTCGACCCTGTTTCGACTCCGTCTGTCCAGCCCCTTCGACCGACAGATCCCACGTCACGTTGGTCTGGTGTTGACTGAAGCCCCAAAGAAACCGAAGCGAGAACAAGAAGTGATAATAGAAAAAACACACACGACACAGAACCAACATCAACCAATCACAACCGCCATCCATTGTAGTGGTTGGTATAGGGACATAAATGGGATCATAAAACGAGGTAATTAAATGATTTAAGATGATTTAAGTCAGCAATTCGATCGGCTGCCCTCGACTCCCGGCACGAGGCGATGGGAGCGCCACAAAAGCACTGTTCGGACGAGAGTGGTGAGAGTTCTGAAGGGTCGTGCAATTGCCACATGAAATGAGTCGCCATATGTTGCCATCTCTGTTGCCATCCATTGAGAAAGTTCAGTCACAAGCCATCCATTTACTCCGGTGCTGTTAAACATGCTGAACAAAAAACAACCAAACCAGCCCACCCGCCTGGCGTCCGGCTGCCGGTGGGTGAGCGGGCGGACTTCGCGTCTGAGATGGACGTGGCCAGGCGAGATGGACGTGGCATGGATCGTGTCCACCCTGCAAGTCTTCAGTTCCGTTCCAAAGAACCCAGTTTTGTTACTACTAGTAAGGCACTTGTTACTACTAGCGTGGCACCTGTTTCTAATAGCTTCTTGTTACTACTAGTAAGGCACCTGTTACTAGCGATGCACTTGTTACTAATAGCTTTGTATGAGGTACTTGAAGGGCGCCCCCTAAAGCCGACAACTGGATGGCGAGGGCAAAAACATGATGGATGACGTGGGTCGGGCACCTAATCTGATGGTTGGTTTCCTGTCCTCCAGGAACTGCGGGCTTTTGCATGGGTGCGTGTGGGGGGAGGAGAAGCTGCGACATCGGCATCGGGGAAGTTCTTCTTGAAGATCAAAGTGCCAAAGCCTTTGATGTCCAAATCACACCATGTGCTCGAGATTATATGGTTATAACGTACAACCATGCTCATCACACAGACTGACCCGTACACAGACTGACTCATAAACAAACTGACCATGACTGACCCATAAACAACTAAAGATTGACTCGTGGAACCACCCTATGTAGGTAATAACGATGCCGGATCTCCTTTCAAAGGAGGGGGGAAGGCCGAACAAATCATACATGACTAATCCTGACTATAACTCTCTTGGCAGGGCTGGTACTTGGATTTGCACACCGTTTCTCGCATGGCGAGACTGCTCTACTGGCGATCTCGATTGACCACCTCTTGCGTCTGGCTGGGTCAAGTCCCTAACGGCTGCTCAAAGCACCAAACCTGCCAGGTAAAACAAAAGCTCAAAGGCACTACCTGGACTATCGAAACGAAGGTGCCTTATTAATGGAAGGGTCCAGGTACGACGGATCTCCACACCCCGAAAGGAAGGTCTAGGATGGTGCTGCATCTGCTCAGCTGGCTTTCTGTTGACCCAGGTCACTCCAACGGTCACTCGCTCCAAGGGTCACTTTCTGTGGAGCCGTCTTCGGAGGCAGCTACGGCTGTTTGGAACCAACGACCTGACCTGACCTGGCCTTGGAAAAAACACCTATGAACTGACGAGCCGGAGCCACAGATCCTTCAAGGTGAACCAAACCAATTCCACCGTATCACAACCTGTGATATGTGGGGTGTCCCCCCAATTCCCCTCCCCCAAAGAAGCTTTGGCTGATCCACGTGCTCCCTGGTATATGATTTGCATTGATTTGCCATCCAAGGTACTAGGCCCATTTGAGGCGTTGACCTCGGAACAAAGCGTGCGCCTGACTGACGGTGTCTGGCTGTGCGCAGGGCTTCTGAAAACCGCCAAACTAGTCCCTACAATGAAATTGGTGAGAAGCCCCAGACCCCTCCATATGAGGCTTCAGGAGCGTCTGGGCGGGTCAAATCTTCGATCCAAGCCAAGATTCGAAGGTCGAACTCCTAGCAACATGTTTTTTGTGTGATCTCCTTATTTGCGGTATACGAGTCTTTCACCTCACCTGCTTCCTGAACGCCGACCTGGGCTTCGATTGGGCCGTGCCTTTGATTTGCGATCGGTGCCGCGGGTCTGGTACCCTGAAAACCGGCGCAGCGGCGCAGTGCGCCGGCGACTTGGATGCGAATGGTGAATTTGGGGTGAATGAAGAATACACACTCGGACTCACTAACATGAAGTGGAAAACCTCCTTTTTGTACAGGAAAGTATCCCAAGGGACAATTTTCCACGTCCATGTTAGCGAGACAGAGCGTAGCTGGAAATTGGGCAATCAACTAGTAGCCCATCTGTATAATTGGTTTCAGTTTGACATGTACAATGTACACTTCCTTCGCACCTTGAGAAGTCAACTGTAAAGCCTCATGCACGCCCCGAACAAAGAACCATTCGATTTTCCAGCGGTTGAGAGCTAAGGTCTGGACCATGCTCCGCCCGCCGGGCGAGTCGATGACGGCGCACCGCCCTTGGGTGAGAACTGCATGCTGTAACCTCGGCAGCGCGCAGCAGGACACGCAGGCAGCGCATGCCTGCTGCGCTGCGCTGCTGCGCTGCACATGCACGATGCCCGACACGGGTTCGGAAACGCCGGTCCTTCTGCACGTTTGGAGTTCGGAAGGCAGTGCGGTGCTGGATGAAGACCACACGATGGAACCAAAGATTCCGGAGAGTATTTCCGAACAGGTCAAAATGGATAATCATGTTTCGGACGTTTGTGACATATCATGGCTTGTCCAACATGGCAGCCTGACATATTGCTCAAATAGACGTGGGAGTGGCGGACGTGGGAGTGGTTTCAATTATAAGATGCTTTAAACCTGATTCATCCTGGCTCTTAATTCATTCATGAGGCAACATAGTGCATGGTAACTCTTCCAGTCCAATTCTGAGCGGCGAGTCTGTTGGACCAACTCGTCCACCAACCAACGCTCGCTGAGCCAAGCAGCTGCTTCGAGGCCCCGCCGCCCCAATGGCGGACTGCGGCCGGACCGAGGCGCCACCGCCTGAGTCCGGGCGGACTGCGGCCGTCTGCGACCGGTTGCGGTGGGTTTGTCCCCCTAAAGTCTGATCAAGCTGAAGGCTAAAGCTCAAGCCGACGTAGCTAGTGGTGCCAGTGTTTTTTTCAGAGAA